GCACCAGCGGAAATATCGTTGGGGGCGCATTTTGGCCTGCCGCCGCATCAGATTATTATTTTATTTACCGCAGTGAACGTGTTAACAGTGTTTGAAGTCTTACCGTATCCATGTCCGTCTTCATATGATGCAATTTCTTATTGAGATCATTCTTAATACCTTGCATGAGGACAAAATTTTTCTCTAGAAGTCCTTGAAGACCTGGAAAGTATAATGTTTTTCATAGTGTCGACGTATAAAATAATGAAGCAACTATTAATATATTGAAGTAGGTAGTGATAGAGGAGCTCACCGGCACCCTCTAGCAGACGGCTGATGTCTTTCGGCTCCACGTCTTTGTGATTCCTGGGCATCACACGTTCTGCACATGAATTTAATTAATTTAATCATTTATCTTTTCTAAAATGTAATAGTTCATTATGATTGTTTACTATTACCGTTATCATTAAGGAAATCATCAGGCAGGTCCCAGTAGGAGGGGCGGCGCGGGCGCAGCGCGTCGCCGGGCGGGGGCAGCGCGGGGCGCGCGGGGTGCGGCGGGCGCGCGCTCAGCGACACGCGGCACACGTGCGAACAACACGTCACTAATATCTCTGACACGTTGAAACGCATGTACTCACTGTAATAGACATTTTGTTTCATTACGCAATGACTAGCATATGCCCGCAGGTACATACTCAGAATAAAAAAAAAAATACGCTCCGAAGATACCTTCAAACTGACATCTAAATTTTTAAATCTCAATAATATCGGTAAAAACGGAAGAAAGCCAAAATTAAATCTAGATTCTTCTTCTTTCTTCTTTGTCGCTTGAGTCTTTACAGACTCGTCGTGGTTATCACGTATCAGTGCCTCGCTTCACAAGACGCCGCCACTCCTCCCTGTACGCTGCTTTTTTTTCACATTGATGCAAGTGTACGTCCATGGCCGTTCTTTCACAAATCTAGATTCTAGATTAATGAAATAGAATCAATAGGATTACAAATGGTTTGGCTCCAATAGTGACTATCGCATTGTAACTGTACAATAGAGAACATAAACTACATTTTAACAACACCCACGGGTCTGATTTAATATCGCCAAATAAGCTTTCAGAGGTCTGGTCATCTTCTAGCAGTAGACCACCAGTGGATCCGCGGTACACTTGGGAGCCGCGTCTCGTCGGAGACTGCTGAGGCTCGTCTGTGCTCTCTTTCATCCGAGGTGGTCCTGGAAAGTTACAAATTCTTGTTTAACATTTATCTTGCAATTTATTTGGTTTTTATTGTCGTGTGTTTCTCAATCATCGTTTAACAATACTTCCTTTTATTTCTCCGCGTTTAGGATACCACAAGGGTGATTCTCGTGGATGTTTACTTACCAAGCCCGAACTTGAAGCTTCTGTTGTCACTATAGCTTCCAGCTCAACTATTTAGCTACAATCTAAGTATGTACATACTAAATATTAAAATATATGTGTGTACCAGGGTGTATGCAGTAGGCGCCGAATTCTAGCTTCTTGCCGAGTGCACCGATGAACGGGAACTTCATCTTGATGGTCTGAAGCAGCGTCTCCTCGCGCAGGTCCCAAATGTTCAGCGTCTACGGACAACAGTTAAGTTGAATGTAGACCTTTGGTAAAAGAGCTGCACTTTTAATATCTTCCGAATTAAAGTATGACATAAAGACAAAGATGTAAGTA